TCAGAGAAGGTTTCTCTCAGAAGGTCATTTTCAAGCTAAGAGAAGAATGAGAAGACACCAACCATAAACAGCAAATCTAAGTTCTAGAGAAAGAAACTAATTTGGCATGTTCCAAGAATAACAGAATGGCAGCCTAGGTGGATGAACATAGTTTATAACTCAGTGGAGGAGAGCTGTATCAGAGCAGCTCAAATCACAGCACTCCCTTTTACTAGCTGTGGGATATCTGACAAGCCATTTCATCTCTCGTTTGCTTCCTCATCTGTAAAACAGAAATAAAGCTTATCTCATAAGACACACGTGAGGATTAAAAGAGATAACAGATACAAAATGTTTCAGATTATTTTCCTCATTATTATTACCATTACTGCACACACTAGTGGATCCAAGTTCAAAAACAAGCTTTGTGTTCTAGCATTCACTCACTGAACAAACAAGCATTTACTGAGAACTTGTTTTCTGACTCTTACCACTATGGCTGGTCAACAGAAGGACTGAGAAGATCTCCAGGTGTAAAGGATATAAACAAGTAATTAAAATATGATGGAGAGATTAATGAGGTTCAATAAAAATTGTCTTAATCATCTTCCAGTTAGAATCAACTCAAATAATTGCTTTCTGCAAAACATACTAACAACGCCCACCAAGATTTTAAAAGCTCTTGGCTAACTCTTGGTTAATTGTTTCCAACAGTTATTACATTTTAAAAATTTACCTACTTGTATCCAAACCAGTTCATGCCAGTTAAATTTAATGTAGTATAATGAAATATTATAAGGCAAAGAAAACTTGAGTGCGAAGAGACTGGTTTCTAAGAAACAAAGTTGGATGCTGTGAAAAGACTCTATAAAAACAAATAGCTCTGAAAAACTACTATCACATTAAATATGGGGACTTAATTTAAAATATTATGAGAAAAATAATGGAAATATAAAAGACTTATGCATTGAAGCTTCTATATTAGGGCCTTTATGTTCAAAAATGGTTTATTAAACATGAAAAGGAATTTCAATCAAGGGACCTCCACCAAAGAAAATGCCCTGTTCTGTATCAACATGCAAAAGTTTAATGAAAGGAGTCATTGATGTTTTCTAAGTTAGGAACTAGGCTCCCATCTATATACAAAAAAGAAGTCCGAACTCCTTAGTCTAGCATTCAAGGCTCCAACCTATCTTTCTAGCTTTTACCTTTCATAAGAGACTTTTGCAAAGCATATACTTCATTCCCATATATATCTGTACTTTCCAGACTTTGAAGTCTCATAGATCTGTATCTTAAAAGGTGACCAGAAGTTGTTTTATGAATGCGGGGAGAAACATGGTGCTATCTACTTTTCCATGGAAAATGCAGAAAAGAGTAAGTGGTGACAGCGGTGGTGTTGGAGGCAGAAGGCAGAAGGAAGATGAAGGCAGAAGGAAAATGCAGAAAAGAGGAAGTGGTGACAGCAGTGGTGTTGGAGACAGAAGGCAGAAGGCAGTTTTGAGTTTTATTAATTGTGAAACAACGATTACATGTGCCTTGTAGAACACTGGAAATATGGATCTTCAGTTCAGAAGTGAAATTTCAGGATATGTTCCTTGAAATCTGGACCTTGCCTGTCTTACTTAGCACTATATCCTCAAGAACTAGAACACTGCCTGGTGCACAGTACTCAAATATATGTTTCATTAAGCTGTTATTTAGTATACAGGCTAATGGATAGCTAAAGCTGCATGTGGATAAGATTGCTGACAGATGTCAACTAATCTGTTTTAGGTATCTTCAAAACTAGTGAGTACTTTGTACCATCTTTTCCCAGAAATATGCATGTTTACACAAGCACTAAACTGCACAATTTCATCAGACCGCATGGTACTTAATGCTTGCATCAATTTAAAATCTATTGATCTCAAACTTAAAAATCAACAATAACATATTAAGAGGACAACTAAGAAACACTGAAAACACCAAAAAATGAGCAAATGGATGTAGAGAACTCAACAAAGGAAAGGTCCGAAAAGAAAGAAGAAAACAAGAAGAATGTTATTAAGAAAGCAAAGAAAGAGTTTTTCACAGAGGGAGTGATCTACAATAGCAAAAGTAGTAGAAGTATACAAAATACATATGTTAGAGTTGGCATTAGGTCTCCTAGAGATCTTAGTGGAGTGGTAGGTCATAGAAACCAAATTGAAGTTGTTTGAAGGACTGAATAAAGAGGGAGGGAGTAGGGCCAGTGAACATAAACAACTAAAATGTTCTCAAACATTTCTTACACATTATTTTTTCAACAAATACTCATTTGATGCCAATTATATGCCTGGCATTGTGCTAGCCATCTTATCCACGTCCTGCCCAAATTATCTCAAGAAACTTGACTATACTCTCTAAATTATCCTTTCCACCTCCGAATGTCTAATAACTTCCCTATGTATAAAGCATCAATCATTTTGAACTGGCTAAAGAAACAAACCAAATAGTCTACTCTATTAGTAGAGTCTAACAAAGATGTGGAAGTGTTAAACTTATTGCATAGGTCTTTTATAAACAAGTGAGAAATTTTCCTATCACAAGAACTACAGTACTCTGAACTAACAAATTCATGACACTGCTCAGTGGAATTCCTAAGGACACACCTCTGACACACACCCCCGAAAAAAATCTAAACAAAACACTATCTTGAGAATCTTCCCATCACGCTCCTACATCCTAAAATGTAACCATATAAGTCTCTGAAATAAAACTCTAGAATACTCTTTTCTTAAAACTCCCTTAAAATAGAATTTTAATTCTGGAAAGGTCTAAACCTTTATTTTACTAGTAAGCAAACTGCATCCTATTAGTTAAGCAAGTTGCCTAACTTCACTTAAGATACTAAAATCTTTAAGATACTAAAGAAACTAGAAAAATGGTTTGTAATCTTTTTTGACAATGTGTGTTTATTACTAAGCTCCACTCCCATGCATCAGGCTCTAGGAAAGTGACAGTGAACAAACAGGCCTGGTCCCTCTCATCCTAGGAAAGACCAAATTTTAGAACATAACACAATTGGTTCAATGCTTTAATAGTATGAGAATAGAATACATAATCGAAGGATCACAGTTAGGTTTTGTTGCTTGACTTTGTTGTTCGGGTTTTTTCTTTTTCCAATTTTGTTGGGGGCTGGGTAAAGGGAAGGTGGCAGTAGAGGAGTCTAGTAGGCTTCTTTTTGTAGTAGGTGAGCTTTGCGGGGAATTGATAAATGATAAAGTTTAATGGGGACAAGAATGAGGCAAGGAGGGAAGAACATTCCCAGTGGAAGGACTAGCATGTGCCAGCTTTTAGAAGCGGCATGGCAATTTAGGGTATTCATCAAAGGCCAGCATAGATAGCTCACAGAGTGAGAGGGAGAATGGTTCAAGATAAAGCTGAAGACATAGGTAATGTCCAAATCATACAGAGGAGGAACATAATCAAATTAGTACTAGCTAATAATAACACATCCTTTTACATAGTACTTTAACAGTTTACAAAGCACTTGAAAATGTTTTCTCTGCTGTTCCTACAAACTTGTATAGTAGTTATTATTTATTATTCCAAAATAATTACATCAGTCCTCCTTAGAATTCTCACAGGATAAGTTTAAGGTCCAAGTTACTCAGTTAAATCACCTTGTCTGTTGGTAGTACACAGCTACTAGTCCCTCAATATTTTATATATGCTACTATCATCTAGGAAAACTACACTGAACATACCTTCATGATTGTACTTTCTAAAAACTATGTATTTAAAACATTTTTTTAAAGCATTAAAAATAACAGCCATTTAACTATCATCCAGCTTACGGAATATACGCTGACACAAGTCTTTTAAAACTATGAGTTTATATCTTTTCTCCATAGATTGTGAATTCCATGAAAGTAGGGACTGTGTGTTGACAGATCCAAGATTTTGTGCTAAGAAATTAACACTGTTGTTTAATATAATGGAATCCCTCAAATCAGGTATAAATACTGAGGTTCACAATATGCTAGAGGCCACAAAGCCAATAAATCATTTAACCCAGTTCAAGTACAAAGGAATTTTGCTTTATTTGTTACGAGTTTATAACTTTATAATACCTGATAAATTTATTCAAGATAAAACCGAAAAAATAACTTTCAGTCCACATATTTTCAGGTCATTATTAAAGCATCCCAAGAAAGCACTTGCTGAACAAATTAGCTATGGAAGTCTCCCGTATTATGCTAAATGCTGGGAGTATGAATTCCAACTACACAAATTCCATGCCTTAATGAAACTCCAGTTTCTTAAGCACACAGAATTGATCCAAGGTTTGGCTGTTCCCAGATTCAAAGAACATATCCCACTCTAGATCAACTAAGAATAGGGAAAAATGTCCATCACACATGAGCACGTACATGGCCCAGAGTTAAATTATTTTTCAGAAAAAAAAAATTGCTAGTAGGGAGTAAGAAGGAAGTTGTGTTGTGTGTGTAAATGTGTTTTGAAAAGGAGTGGGACAGAGACTAGACTAAAAGGAAAAGAAACTGGAAAACCGGGTTTAAGGAGAAAACTAAATGTAGAGTGGCGTATGAGAATCACATTTGTTCAAGCACCTTCTACAGCAGCTTTTCTGCACGGAGCTGTAATCCTTACATAGCACTTAGTAAAAGGCCTTACAGACCCTGTGTTGACTCCAAAGAAGCTTCAGCAACCACCTATTCTGCCTCCTCCGCACCGCCCAGCAACCACAGTTAGTGTGTGGTCGCCTCATAAATGGAAGCGGCCCTGGCCGCTGGACTGGCGCGGAGGAGTGCAGTCAACCGATGAGAAGACACTGTGGGAAACGCCATAGAGTACGCGCCCAGGCCAAGGAAGGGGTCAGCCTCAGCCTCCACCTCAGCTTGGCCCGTCCAGTGAAAGATCTGGTATCAAAAAGAGACCAGAAAACCCAGCTCCCCGAAGGCAGCGAGTACTCCCAAACGGCTTCCCAGCGCTTAAAAGCGCTGGTAACTTCCGCACCCGCCCCCATCCGAAGTTACCTTCCCAAGTGACATCGTAAAGCTCTGAGACCTTCGCCATCTTCCCAGAACCTAGAAGCAGCGGGGTGAGAGGGCGGGGAGCCGCGGTCACGTGACTCGCGACCGGGCTGTGGCTATTTACGTAGCTTTTTCTCATTGGCCAAGAGAGCAGAGGGGGCGGTATCCGCCGCGCACGTGCACGCGGCTCTGCGGAGGGGCTTTCGGGGAAGGGGGCGGAGCGAGCTGGGCGGTGCGCCGTGGTCCCGGAATCTGAGGCTTCTTTGGGTGCTGGCGGGGCGGAGGTGCTGGCTCAGGGTGAGGTGTGTGTTTTTGTGTTTGTTTTGCCGTGGATTTTTAACAAATGCTGGGTTTTTAGTGTCCGCCAATCCTAGCTTTTCATTTTTTTCTACCTAGGCGTGTTCATTCTCTTCACATTCCACAATCAACCATTTATTCTCTTCAGGCCTGGCCGCGGCGCAGCCTTCTGCACGAATCCCTCATTAATCTCCAACTTTCCTCCTCCTTTAATGGGATTTGCTTTCCGTTCACTTTTTAATCGACTAAACGGATACTCTAAAGTTTTTAGTAAATCCCATCGAGGGACTAAGTGGGATTCTTTGCGCTTTGAAGTTCCCTTGAATGCCCTTGGGCTAGACTGTATCCTTCGTTTACGCTCGTCCTGCCTGTCATTGCTTCATCCATGTCTGCATGCCACACTAGGTTTGAAACTGTAGCGAGTATATAAGTACTTACAAGAAATGAATGTACGAATAAGACCTTTACAGTTCCTGAACTTTGCTCCTCTTTACTCCTGGTGGGTGGATGGGGGAGCCTGCTTTCCCACCAGACTAATTGCTTTTAGGGACCTTTGGACGTCGTCTCTTAGAGCTAAGGAGAAATGTCTGGACAGTAAGCAAAATATTTGAAGATGATAAGCATATATTTAGTATCTGAAGCAATGAGAACCTGAGATTGTGGAGGTGGAATACGTAAGCTGAGGAAAAACTAAAAATCACTGCAGTGCAGCCGTAGTTATGGGTCAGTGAACAAGCGGCAGTCAAGGTTTGAGAAGTAGAAATAATTCTATCCCACAAGTCAAAAGAGTGGAGGGGTTTTATTTCCAGCTTTATTGAGGTATAATGGACAGAAATTGTGTATATTTAAGATACAGGAAGTAATAATTAGATGTAAATATATATTGTGAAATGATTACCACAACCAAGCTAATCCACACATCCATCACCGTACCTGTTTCCCGTGTGTGTGTATGTATGTGTGTGTTGGGAACACTTAATCTCTCAGCAAAGTTCAAAGTATACTATACAAAAAAAACTATAGTCACTATGATGTACATTTGATCTCCCGAACATACTCACCTTACAACTAAAAGTTTGTACCCTTTGACCAACATCTCTCCATTCCTCACCTCTCAGCTCCTGTCAGCCACAGAGGGTTTTTTTGTTTGTTTTAAAAAAAGAAAAACAATAACCGCCTATAACAATAACAACTTCTCTACCCCAGAGAAGTCGCATAACCACGGAAAAGACTAGTGAATGCTTACACTTGGATTGAATTCTGAATGAGCTGGCATTCTTTCTGAACAGACTTTTAAAAAGTCTTTCATTCAGGAAGTTTAAAAGTGCTCCACCCAGAAATTTACATATTCTTATTCTTCAATAAAGCAACCTGGTGCAATGGGAAGAAAAAGAACTTCCAGATCTGATTCCAGGCTCTTCCTTTTAGTAGCTGGTTGACTTTCAGCTTGCATTTCTCTCTCAGCATCAAAGACGCTTATATATGAAAAGCTAATAATATTTGTGTAAAAAGAAAATAGCCACCTTGAGTTGTTAATCAACATGAAAACAGATACTGCAGCTAAAGCCCCTGCGTGGCACTCTCATGGAGGTACCCTCCTGTATCTAGAAACACTGTTTATATGCTAATCAGCCCCAAATTGATCAATCTTCTCAAAACTGAGTCTGCTTTCTTGACATGCTCACTTAGATGGCTAGTTGATATGCATCTCAAAGTTAACATATCCCACACAGAACTCTGGATTCCTGCTGTCACCTTCTGCATTTCCACCTTGCTTTTCCCCATCATAGGTAAGGAAACCATTTACCAACTTGCACAAGTTAAAATTATGGGAAGTACCTTTGATTCCTTTTTTTGACACCCCCCATATGCAGTCTGTCAGCAAATTCTACATTGCATTTCCCAAAGTTCATCTGCTTTTCATCTCTATTGCTATTACCTTAATCTAAGCCACAACTATGTCTCTTCGTAATGATTGTGATAGTTTCCTAACCACCTTGGTTTCATTCCTGCTGTGTAAAATCCGTTTTTTTATACAACAACCTACTGGTCTTAAAAGAAAAATCAGACTACAGAAGTCCCTTGTTGATAGGCCTCAAATGGCTCCCCATGGCAATAAAAATATACTTCAAAGACTTTACCATGGTTTAAAAGGCTTTACTCAACCAGGTGACATTCATCTACCTCTTACCTCATCTCCTACTATTCTATCTCTCCCTTTAGCCCCCAGCCATTCCCATCTACTTACTATTCCTCAAACAGGCCAACCTCCTATCTGTCTTGTATCTGGCTTTTACCCAGCTGTTTCCTTTTCCTAGAATGCTCTTCTCCACATCTTTTAGTGACCATCTTCCTTTCACCTTTCATATCTCAGTTTTAAATGTATCCACTTATAGTCCTCTCTTGACCATCCAACAGAAAGTAGCCCTTAGGTAATGCCTATTCATCTTCATGACACTTATCACTATTTGATTTGTTTGTTTACTTGCTTACTTTCTGTAATTTACAACACTTTAAGCTGCTTCATAGTACCAACTTTATTATTTTAACCTTGGAACATCCAGCCTAGAAAAATACCTGAAACAGTAAAAATGTTTGTTGAATGAATGAACTATATTAAAAATGACAGCTTGTATTAATATTTATTAAGGATAACATTTCTTAATAGTATACATATGAAGTCTTGTTTCGTTAAGCATAGGATGTTTTCTTTTCGTAGCTGATACTTTCCTAAAACTTATAAATTCCGTGAATTCAGGGACCATGCCAATTCTTTTTTTTTTTTTTTTTTTTCCTTGGGTGGGCCCGCCTGGGTGCCCCGGGTGGGGCTGCTCTGTGCCGGCTCCTCTCCCAGGTGCTCAGAGTCTGCCAATTCATTTTTAGATCAGCCCTTACTACAATACGTTGCATACAAGAGCCACTTAATATTTTCATGAAATTATTGATGCTTAACATTTTCTTGGTTTGTTTGTTGGTTTGTTTGAGAGGTCTAAAACCTCTAGGAAGTCCCAAGGAGGTATTTTTTAAAGCCTTATAATGGATTTTAAATGTTCTAACTAATTGAGGAAATAAATATTTTCTAATCACATCAACTAAATATCCCATAGCTAGCTACTATTGTGTGTCAAGCAATAAGCTATATGACACTGGGTTAAAAGTCTTCATTTTCAGAATTTCTAAGCTGGAAAATAGAGTAATCTCATTTTTGAGTTTGAATGGGCTGATGATTCTTGGGAATGATATTTTTAAAACTTTTTTTGCCTACAACTCATACTAAGGAATGTGTTTTATATTGTCACACAGTATGTGTACAGGTATTTAAAACTGAAACATAATTTACAAACTAGTTTTGTCATGTGCCTTGTCTTCTGCATTTTCTATTCAAAATGTGTCAGTTACATTGTATTTTCTAAAACTACTGGTGTGACCCAATAATGAGGTCATGACCGATAGTTTAAAAAACATCAATGGATATTGTATGAATTTCCTAACCTGAGGCCCTGACTTGAAATGATTTCCCCAAGTTTCTGCCACTAGTAGGTAAAAAAGATAGGTGATTCATATGTGATTAGTTGTTTAGATCATAGATGAAAGATAAAATACTATGAGAAAAATATATCTAGGAGAAATTTTGTCACCAACAGTACTCTGAAGTAAGGAAAATGATTGCTTATAGATTATAACATAGATGTCTAATGAAACTTACCTTCCTCAGGCACACTTAGGAAAAAACTGGTATGACAGTGACAAGAATTCTGTATTCTTCTTTAACATTGTATAACATGCAGTTATAACTAAATGAAAATAGAAATACCTTCCATAGATAAAACACTGAAAACATAAATATCAATCTTACCTTCTGAAACTCTACCTTTACAAGATGTCTTCAAAGTTTTGCCTCTCACCCTCTCCCTCATTGAGAAAATTTTCATTCAAATATGTTTAAAATATTTAATCCAGTTTTTCTGATTGCACATTGCCCAGTATTGGTGACAAATACCAAGGAAATGTCCAGGCAGCCAAATAATAGATTATATTAGCCCACACATTATGAATAAGATGTGTCAGACACCATGGACAGCATTATCTCACTTAATGATTTCAATAGCACAATGAACGTGTCTGTAATTGTTTTTATGTGAAACTAAATTGTGATTTGGCTTTTTTCCTGCAAGATTAGGTTTGAAGAGTTGGAATGACAACAAATCAGAATGAACTAGAGTGAGACCGGAAAAACTTTGAATAAGCCCACATTTTCTTTGAGGTAAGTTATAAGCTAAATTAGTCCACAGAGCACTTTAGAGTACATCTCTTTTATGGTTTACTTACTTCAGTTAATATCTTCAGACATAGTGGAGGACTAAAGCAACCTCTTAAATTTAATAAACTCTATGGCATTCATACAGTATACATTATTTCACAGGATATAAGCCAAATTAGTCCACAGAGCACTTTAAAGTACATCTCTTTTATGGTTTACTTAATTCAATTAATATCTTCGGATATTGTGAAGGACTAAAGTACCTTTTAAATTTAATAAACTTCATGGCATTTATACAATGTATATTATTTCACAGGATGAAACATTCCATTCTAATTGATTTTACAATATTTAGCATCTTCATCAAACCATTTATTTAGAATATTCTGTCTACTTTTTCCCGGTCTTAATCATAGTGAATTAGTGTCCCACGTTATGTAACACAGCTTGTAACTCCTATTTACTATGACAGTTATTTATCAGAGTAAATTGGTCTCGCTACAACTCTCATATAAAATTTACCAAAGCTTTTGAATTATGTTATTGTTTTTAATTAGTACATTATAACCATAATCCCTTTTTATTTAACTGGATATTGTTCATTCCATATCACCAGAAAGTAATCTTCATTTCATGTCACCAGACTTTCATTGTGACACATCTTGTTCAGAAGGAAATTTTTCTTAGCATTTTATTTACCAAGCACCAGGTTAATATAGAATTGTTTTAGGAATCTACTGAACGTTGTTTTTATTACATTTTTAAAAGATTGTATAATTAATTTGTTTCCCCCAAAATCAATTTGTTTCCCCTCTTTGCTGGCACAACTGTAGCATTTAGGCATGTCTGTTTTTTTTTTTTTTTTAAAGTTTGTTGTCATTTCCAATATATATGTTTTTAAATGTGCCAGCCATCATTTCATACCCAGTTATATTATTTTAGAAAAGAAAAGGGAGTCTCTGGGAAACATTTCTAGTGAGATCACTTTGGTCCTTTTACAGCAGATTTTGCAAACTGATTATTACCCCTCAATGCCGAAGTTGTAACTGTGAAAAGGAAAGTACGTCCAGAAAGAGTTCTCCCAGAATTCCCTCATATGGGCAATAAATTAGAGCTGTTTCTTTCTGAGATTTATAACCATACTTGAGAGTCCACTTTTTCAAATGATATTTATTTAATTTCCCCAAAGTGCATATTCTATTCTGATACACACATACATCTGTGTAAAAGTACTCCTTATGCAAAAATGTATTTTCATAAACATCTCTTTTGGTTACCAAATATCCAGAACTCCCTAAATACTATTAATGTAAACTGATGGTCCCTGAAGACCATCTAGACTCTTCTTTCTACAGCAGGACTATAATGGAATCCTTTACTTGAAAAAACATTTTAATAGGTGTTTATTTATGATAAATAAATTACATTATGGGAAACTCATGCAAAGATAAACTGAATGTCACATTATGCATGTTAGTTTATTATTAAGATAATTTTTATTTTTGAATAGTCTCTCTGTCAGTTTGGTAGCATTACTCTAATTACAAGTGGCCACGTCATTCATTCAGACCTGTAGTCCTCAGATATCTTACCCTGGCCACCAGACCACAATGCCATTTTCTTTACTGGTCATCTTTTACTGTGGTCATGCTGACTACTCTGCTAAAATTGGCTTAAAGGCCAACAGCCACATTGGTTTTATTTGGGAAAAAGACTAGTTTCCTGGCAGAATGTCTGACAAAACTGCCCACCCCAAATCCATTCTGTCAGACCTATGCATCACCTTCTCACTCCTGAGGAAATAGCATGATCTCTATTCTTAAAAAATTTATGTAACATAATTTTAAAAAATTTTATTAAAATTGTTTATCTTAAAACTATGAAGTAAGGAACAGTAGAGATGTGCTTCAAAACTACCACTTAAATTACTGCCACCTCTCTAGAAATTCTTTGAGCAATAAAATATTTTCATTTCCTTCTGTTCATTATGTTTCCTTTACACATTTCCCTTGAATCTTTAAATAATGAACTTGAACATGTGTCCAGTGTGGATGGGGGTGTGATGTAGGGGTGCTTTCAGTTGTTAAAAGTGGGTGGGAAGAAAGGTTGGACAGGAAGAGCCATAGACCATGATTTAGATCTGACAAAGTATCAGCCAACTCAGTGAGAAACTTCTGAGCAAAGATTGTCCATTAGAGGTGACCCACAATGGGCAGAAATTGCCAGGCCTAGTGTAGTGACATGCTCAGTTATTGGCTGGGGACTACCCAGAAGGGCATAGCCTCAGCTCAAAAGCTGTAATTAATCTGAAAGATTTTACTAGCTATAGGCTGTCAACTTCCTGTACTACTTCAGCAAATTCTTTTTTGAAGGGAGATTCAAACAGTATACCTCATGGCTGCCATTATTATTATTTTTCCATTCTGGCTATGCACAACCTCAACACTATTAGGTAAATCATCAACAACCAATTATTGATGAGAGGTAGGGGGTCTGTGTTCTTCAGAAGTCACTAGTGATTTGACATATGGAAATTACATTTTGACTGCATAGAATGTCTTTATTATAAATAGTTCAGCAATGGTTGCCTTGTGTTGAAGAAAAGATGTGATAGAATACATATAATGCACAGAGGCTTGTTTTTATGAGACATAAATCAGGAATCATTCATTCTTTTCACGGGTGGAGACTAATACTACTACCATTGGTAAATTACCTAGAACTTCACATTTCTTCCTCATTTTTTCACTCAGCTGCCAAATATATCAAAGTAATTTAGAATTTTAGAAATGTCATTCCAAGAATAATAGTAAAACTCTGAAAAAGGGCAGCATTTCTAAAATTCTAGAATTCAAGCTCTTCATGAAATACTAGAAAATTCCAAAGACACTGCACTCAGAATGCCCCTAGATAATTCAGTGGCTAGCTGCCATACTATCATTGATGGTTGCTTCTTAATGAACTTAAGCAAGGATAAATTTTAGCAGTATTTTCCAACAGTAGATAATTGATTACAGGTATGAAATATGAATGCTGAGTAAATATTCAGCCCCTCAATGTCATCTTTCTGTTCTTTCATCCAAATGCCAAGGCAGCCTTAGTTAGCATCTGCCGTGCTACACAGATGCTCTTCTGGGAAGGTAATTAAGAGTGGTCCATACTCTGGACTGCCAGAAGGAATAATATAATGAAATCGGTACCTAATGGGAGAAGGCAGAGTGCTTGCCAGACTTCACATGACTAGTAAAGTTGAGTTTAAGAGAAGGATTGTCTGTTTTTAAAAATTTAGCAACAGAAGAGGACTGCTGATTGTTTCTTTTACTTAATTAAAGCAACAGAAGAAAACTTTGGCAGTTCTTTTCAGGGAGCAGTTACATGGGACACAGTAGTTATGAATCTCAATACACAAGCTCAGGTGTGCAGGAACAAAATTTGCACTTTTATAAACAAATTTTTTCAACATCTATTTTAGAATCAGGGATAAATATGCAGGTTTGTTATATAGGTTTGAAGTATGAATGAATCTAGCCACCATGTGGTAAGCATAGTGTCCAATAGGTAGTTCAGGTTTGTGTGTGTGCGTGTGTGTGTGTGTGTGTGTGTTTTGAGACCAGGTCTTACTCTGTCACCCAGGCTGGAGTGCAGTGTCACGAAGACTCACTGCAGCCTCCACCTCTTGGGTATGGGCTCAAGCAATCCTCTTGCCTTATACCCTCCCCAACCAGTAGCTGGGATTACAGGTGCATGCCACCACGCTGGCTATTTTTTTGTATTTTTTGTAGAGACAGGTTTTCGCCATATTGCCCAGGCTTGTCTCTAACTCCTAGGCTCAAGCAGTCTGCCTGCCTCAGCCTCTCAAAGTCCTGGGATTATAGATGTGAACCACTGTACCTGGCCCAATAGGTAGTTTTTTTTTCCCCACTCTTATCTCCCTCCCTCCTAGTCCCCTTTTGTATTACGCAGTGTCTGTTGTTCCCATTTTTATGACCATATATACTCAATGTTTAGCGTCTGCTTATGAGATTATACAGAATTTGGTTTTCTGTTTCTGTATTAGTTTAGGATAATGGTTTCCAGCTTCATCTATGTCACTGCAAAGGACGTGATTGTATCCCTTTTTATGGCTGTGTAGTATTCCATAGTATATATGTACCACATTTTCTTTATCTGGTCCACCATTGATGGGTGTGTGTTAATTCCATGTCTTTGCTATTGGAAATGATGTTGCAGTGAACATATGGGTGCAGGTGTGTTTTTGGTAGAATGGTTTATTTTCCTTTGGGTACATACCCAGTAGTAGGATCTCCAAAGTGCTCTCCATAGTGGCTGAATTTACATCCCTACCAATGGTACAAAAGCCATTCTAACTAGTGAAAGGTGGTATCTTTTTGGTTTCGATTTGCATTTCTCTAATGATTAGTAATGGCAAACATTTTTTCATATGTTTGTTGGCTACTTGTGTGTCTTCTTTTGAGAAGTGTCTGTTTATCTCCTTTGCCCACTTTTTAGTGGGGTTGTTTTTTACTGGTTCAACTGTTTAAGTTCCTTTTAGATTCCAAATATTAGACCTGTGTCAGATGCATGCTTTGTAAATATTTTCTCACAATTTTTGGTTGTCTGTAAAACTCAATTTTTATTTGAGGTACCATCCTTTGGAGAAGACAAAAATTTAATCTCAGTTTGGGATTAAGTTAATCCTGCTGCCTCTACCTCTTTCCAGGCTACTCTGACTCGTGTGAAAGTGATATCAAAATATTTAACAAGCTATAGGCAAGGTCACCAGCTGTCATGGGAGTACCTTCAAGATGGTCCCCAGTGATTTGCACCTACTGGTTAGTAAATCCTATGTAATCTCTCTTACACCGAATAGGAATGGCCTGTGTTATCAATAGAATGTTTCAGAAATGATTGATATGACTTTCTGAGGTCATAAAAGACATGTGACTTCTGCTTTGCCCTCTCTTGCATCACTCATTATGAGGACACTCAAGCAGCCCCACAGAAAAGTCCGTGTGGCAAGGACTGAGGCTTCCTGCAACAGTCAGCATTAATTTGCCAACCATGGGAGTGAGACATTTTAGGTTTGGTCCTCCAGCCCCAGTCAAGACTACAGACTCAGATGACATCTCAGCTGGTATACCTTGAGCTGGAGCCACCCAGCTAAGCTGCTCACAAATTCCTGACTCGCAGAAAATTTGTGAGATTAAAAATAAGCTTAATATTGCTTTATGCTGCCAATTTGGCAAATAAAATATTATATGGTAATAGATGAGCAATATACTGGCCAATCAGAAAGATAGCAGACACTAGCTTTAGTGCTTACATGGGGTCCTGGAGGCTCCTCTGCTATTCCAGGCATTAATCTTTTAGTTTGGGGTAGGTGAGTAGTTCTGGGTAATTAATATTTATCAGTTTTGGTATTTACCAACCAGTACAGCCATACCAATTCTATCAGTCATTCTTATATAGTTGCAAGGTATTGAGAAGTCCACATGGTCCTCCAGTTCACAATACAGCTCTTGTTTCTCTTCATAAGTGTCCCTGGGTCTTGTGGCTCCCTTAACTTGGTATGGATCACATGGGAATTTGGATTTTCCTCCCTGGGCTCATATTTCAGCCTATTTTTTTCCCCTGGATGCTCTCACCTCCCTGAGACTCAGACTAAACTTAGGACTTGTCTCCCTGGGAGCCACTCTGCTTTCATCAGCTCCCCTTGGGTCTCTTTCTCTACTCCAAACTTTACTCCCCAATTCCTGAGAGAGGACTATTTCAGTCTCAGGGGAAGTTTCCCCTCATCCTAAGTGCTTTATTCTCTAGGTACTGTCTTACCTGTGATTTATCCAGAGACACCTATATATACCCTCTTTGATGAGTTTTGAAAACCCAAACCAGAGAGATACAGTTTGCCCCTTCCTAGCTCCGCCCCCACCCCCCTTTACTGCTGCACCACCCCAATATTCACTCTCTCTCTAAAACAGTGATTCGGGGCCTGAAGAAGAGTGAAAAAAAGTTTCACTTTCAGAAGAGAAAAGAAGAAAATCACTTCTTGATTCGAAAAATGTTATCCTGCTACCCTGTATATAGAAAAATGAATTTCTGCTTACTAAAGAACTGTTGTTTGGGCTGGGACATGATCCTTGCATCACAGTTCAGTGGATTCTCATTGAAGCCATTTGCTCTAATAACATGATAATAAAGCAGCCTGTTGGTTTGCATTCCTGAGAGTCTAGATACCATATGAGAGATACTTTGCTCATGAGTACAACATACCCCTATTTACATTTTAAAAAATCTCTTTCCCAGACTGGGGCTATGTGCCCTTCTCATATGCTCAGCTTCCCTCTCCCCAAAAGCACCTATCTCACCAATTATAATTATTACTTGTGTCTGTCACTAAACTCTCAGCTCTGTTTGACACCTGTGTCATGCTCACGATCTTTGCCAGAATATTCAATAAGAACTTGTATAAAGACAAAGAAGAATCATTAAATCAGTGGTCACTTATTTCGGGGCTTTATGAACCAGTAAAATTTTAAGGTAAAGGGAGGAGAGAAAAAATAAAGGTTGCCAGTTTTTTATTTTACTGAGGACATTAAAAGTAACAGCTACAATTTAGTTCACCTCATTTCATCTTGAGGTTGCTAATTTAACACCAAAGAAGTTGTAAGGATTCATTAAACAATGGTCTTTGCAATAGAGGAAATTTAACTTTTTTTTTTTTTTTTTTTACCAGAGACCAATGACAGCTTCCACCTAGATTGGTACCACATGGCTCTGAGAACTGCTGACAACATCTTTAATCCTTTCCACTAGATAAATTGGGAAAATTTGAAATATTTTCAAGGTGGTAACTTCTAGATTTTAAACTTCTTTTTAAAGAAACACTTCCAACTAACTAAAACTTGTTTTCTATCCTCATTATCTATGTCTTTAAAGAAAAAGTGTCACTGAGCATCTTGGCACATGATTCTCAGCTGGGATTCATTATCCTCTTCAAGAATTTTTTCTCTCTTTCCTAGTAGATCTCTGAAGAAGTGAACATATTAGAAAGTACAAACTACTGTAATTTTTTTATTTTTAAAACATGTTTGGGAAAGGCTTGTTACAGTCTGATCTAAGAAGAAAAATAAAATTATGCTTGAAGTATCTCATGATGCAAACCATTTCTGGCAAATTTATTTTGGATATAGCTCTTGTCTCAAATTCAGCAAAATTCATTTGGGTTAAGTTTTACACTAAAGCACAGTAAATGTATTACAAATCACAAAAATTCTGCTTGCTTTGAGTGACAAAATAGTTAATATATAAAAAAGCATTTTCACTGGAACTGGAGCAGAAGATACTGTTACGTCTACAAATAGGTGTGGTTTTAACAAATGTCAAAGACAATAAAGAAAACACAGAAGCAGTGTTTCTATTTTAAATTTTACTTGTTTTGAGAACCCATGGGATAAATTACAACAGCCTTTGGGAAAGCAAAATCATCAAAATAAGGGATGGAAAAGATTAAATCAATGATGATGTAATCTAGACCCTTGATGATACAGGAGACTCCCTTAAAAATTCTGCCTGCATGCAGTGTCTGTTGTCATGCTTTAGGCTAGGAGAAATTTCTCAATCTGACTTGTGCTTTCACAAATTTATGCTTTCTCCTTATTTTTATTTTACTTTCTGTCATAACTTCCTTACTTTCCTTAGGAAAAAAAGAGAAAAGAGGCCTTAATAGTCTAGTTTCAGTCCTTTTTTTTTAAACAATAGTCATGTTGAAAGCAAAGCATGCTATTTTCTTTTATAAAATAATTCTGCTGGCAAAATTCGTAGCTAAAGTTCTCGGTAAAATAGTAAATCAAATAGTATCCACATACAGGAAGAAAAGTTATAAATCTCCTGAATTATAGAGCTCTATACACTGCAAACTTTCAAGAAGAATTATACCTTTTTTAACATAGCGTTTTTTGCCTGATCAGAATTCTTAGAAAATAAAAGAATATGTTACATTTGAAATACACATGTTCAATCAAACTTGTGAAAAATATTCCCTTTTAATGTATTGGTTGCCCAAATTAAGATACCTAGTTTATTAATTTAAGGAATAATTAATTTAGTAGCCAGAAATGGTATTTAGGATTACTATTAATCTAGCCTGTTTCAACATGAGTATAAAGACTCAGATTATATATTTTCAAAATATGAAGTGGTCTTGCACATTGTCATTAGTTCATAAACAGACAAGTAACACCTTAAACCATTAATTTCGAGCATGACTTTTCCTATTCCAAAAAATACTAGGAAATAAAAAACAAAATGATGTTGGTATCATTTTTTGAGAAGTGTTAATGATAATATTTAAATATTTTGGAATGGTCAGGAGCTAAATTTGGTTTATCACTTATGAAAATAGTTATAACTGGCAGTATAATATCAATGAGTAGATATTTGAGTGTCAGTAGAGACAAGATTATCAACCTGAGCTGCACACTAAGCACAATTAACTGAAAAACAAAAGTTCAACCAGAGTACACTGGTCTGATGCTGAGAGTTCTGTAAAGCTTCAAATTATGGTCATTTAAGATTAGTTTCATGAAACTAACTTAAGTAGGTAGTTTTTTAAAGTGAGAAGAATGAAATGATTAATTTGAAGAAAAATTATATGCAGTATTAATAAAATATAAAAATATTTTGCCGAAAGACTCATGTAGCTGAGCTTCTGAAATATATCTTTGAATTACCAGTGGACAAGCCCATAAGGAGATAATTGTTTTTGAAGAAATTGTCATTAAGGAATAGCTACCCAAATGAAATTGTAGGCCTGCAAATAATGATGTGAATGAATACATAACAGAAATAAGGCCATGCCATTTCTCACAGTTACTGCCAAAGAGAAACTCTGTTGAATTAGTTATTTCTTTCAATTGTAGCTAACATACTAAACACTGATATTTTTAAAATCCTAAAACTTTGACTTGATTTCTGGCTTCATCAGTAATTGACAGTGCAACCTTTCATAAGTCCTTGACTGTCACATTTGGTAGAAGGTAATAATACGTATCTCAGAATGTTCTTAAGAAGATTAAATTTGAAAATATCTAAAAGCATATATTACCTGAATAAAACAAATTTTAAGTGGTAAAAAAATAAACATGAGTGTTTTAACCACTTAAAATTTATTCTGAGTGTTTTAAGTGGTTACAAATAATCACTTCAATGAAGTCATCACTTCATGAGTGATTTCTATTTTTTTTCCATTCATCATTCAGCTGTAGTACAAGATGATCTAGCAAATTGTGTAATATTTTATTGGTGACTGTTAAATAGAAGTCTGGTAGAGATTTGAAATATTTCAGAAGAAGCAAAGGTAATTTTTATTCATTACATTTTTATCCACACCTTAATGTACCTGCTTTATGTTTGTAGAATCTAAAAACAGTTGTCTTGAATTTTCAGCCAGATATCTAGGAAGCCCAGATGGTTTCCTAAGCTTATAAAATAAGCATTTAGCTACTCTAAACCATCTTTTCTATGAAGACTTGGAATGAAATGAAATTGTAAGCACACCTGTTTCTTGTCTTTTGCCACGTATAACCTAGAATGAAACTCTTTTTTTTTTTTTTTTTTTTTTTTTTTTGAGACGGAGTTTCGCCCTTGTTACCCAGGCTGGAGTGCAATGGCGCGATCTCGGCTCACCGCAACCTCCGCCTCCTGGGGTCAGGCAATTCTCCTGCCTCAGCCTCCTGAGTAGCTGGGATTACAGGCACGTGCCACCATGCCCAGCTAATTTTTTGCACTTTTAGTAGAGACGGGGTTTCACCTTGTTGACCAGGATGGTCTCGATCTCTCGACCTCGTGATCCACCCGCCTCGGCCTCCCAAAGTGCTGGGATTACAGGCTTGAGCCACCGCGCTAGAATGAAACTCTTTAACCCAGGCATCCCCAAACTACGACCCGTAGGCCGCATGCCGTCCCCTGAGGCCGTTTATCCAGCCCCCTGCCCCACTTCAGGAAGGGGCACCTCTTTCATCGGTGGTCAGCGAGAGGAGCACAGTATGTGGCGGCCCTCCAGCGGTCTGAGGGACAGTGAACTGGCCCCCTGTGTAAAAAGTTTGGGGATGCCTGCTTTAACCAATAGAACACTGCTGATGAATTCTGCTAAGATATAGGATTTTTCCTTAATGTTAGGAAAGCCAAGATATGAGTGTCATTTAACAAAATTTTAATTTAATTTTTTTTCAGCTTTAGAAGGAAATGACAGTTTTCAAGAAATGAATATTTGTGATATTTTTATGGGGCTAACATGCTAGTTCAAATATCTTGAATATATTTTAGAATCTAATGTATGTCTTCCAGCCCATCACTCATTATTGTAACCGTGTTCCTTATTGCTTGCCTACATACAATATAAAATGGAGATGTAAGAATTTGTTTCATGTAGAAAGAAATACAAGTGTAATTTTTAAATTCTTTAATGATAGGCAAAGCAACAAAAGCATGAACAACTTCTGGAAAACTTTCCCATGACACAGGCTCTTTTCTCATACCACTGGCAGCCAAAGTGAAAATGAAGTAACAACTCACAGCACCAGGGAATCTTACTGCCCTAAAATGCTGGTCAGTTGCGGGAATATCTCTAGAAAATAAATAAATAAATAAATAAATAAATAGAATGGGACTGGGAGATTCCTGTCACACCCCTGATTTAGAATTCCAGTGCATACACGTGGAAAAAAAAAAATTCAAGAATGATAAGAAAAACAAACATTGTTCTTTACACTTTCCACGTTTCCACCTCATTTGAAATCTTTGTTAATCACTCCGTATTTATTGTGTTCACTTTGTTGGAGACTGTGGCTAGGGATAGAAAGAAACCTTTTCAGTCCTTATCAAGAGAGCTGAGTAGGTAGAGCAAATGGTTAGGTCATATGACATCTTCCCCTAGCGTTCACAGACCCCACACACACACACACACACACACACACACACACACACACACTCACTCACACAGCTGATTGGCTCAAGCTGAGCCAATCAGATTCTCCTTGTAAGCATTTGGAATTGGAATTTAGAAATCCTAGTCAACAACTTTGGATTATTTAGTTAGATCACTTAAATTGACCTTGGAATGGCTATGTTTGGATTTGATTAAATAACAGAGATAGCTACTCTGTAGAGAAAGAGAGTAATGATTCAGGCACATAGAAAGATGAAGAGATGAAAGTTCCTGTGGACCCTAAAGAAAGATAATAGAATAAAGTAGGGTAGTTTCCCCCCTCCCATGGTTTCCATTTGCACAGTTTCTGTTATCCACTGTCAGCAACATCCCAGTAATGTTCAATGGAAATTCTAGAAATAATAAGTTTTAAATTGCACAGTGTTCTGAGAAGCATGATTAAATGTCATGCTATGCAGCTCTCTCCCAATCCGGCACATAAATCATCTCTTTGCCCAGCATATCTACACTGCATGTACTACCTGCCTGTTAATCACTTAGTAGCCCTCTTGGCTATCAAATCGGCTGTCTCAGTATTACAGTGCTTGTGTTGATGTAACCTTTATTTTACTTAATAATGGTCCCAGAGAGCAAGCATAATGATGCTGTACATTCAGATATGCCAAAGGGAAACCTTTAAGTGTGTCCCTTAAGTGAAAAGGTGAAAGTTCTTGCTAGGATCTCCAGTAAGAACGAATCTTCTGTCTATGAATTGTGAACAGTATATTGTTAAAATGTTCTATCTTATTATTGTTGTTAATCTCTTACTGTGCCTAATTTATAAATTAAACTTTATCATAGGTATGTATGTGTAGGAAAAAATAAACATGGTGCATATATAAGTATAGGGTTCAGTATTAACCATTGTTTTCAGACATTCACTGGGGGTCCTGGAACATAAGCCTGTAGAGAAGTGGGGACTGCTGAAACTGCCTTTGGTCTTCATATCATCCTATTTCCTTGTTTTAATCCTAAAACCTGCTCTTGCATTTTTAAATAGTGGTTTATCCTTTAAATATTCTTTTAAATAAATTCCCCATTATTACTTAGCTAATTTGAGTTTCTATCCATTATGGCCAGTGACTTAGATAAGAAATGAGCTGTTCCTTAGCCTCACTTTGAAAGCAAAGTTTTGCAGAGATGTTTTTGTTATAGAGTTACTATTTA